GCAGGAGGAGCAGGAGGAGGAGGAGCCGCAGCAGCAGCAGCAGCAGCAGCAGCAGCAGCAGCAGCCGTAGTGGTAGTGGTAGTGGTAATGGTAGTCGTAGTAGTCGTCGTCGTAGTGGCGGTAGCAGTAGCAGCAGCAGCAGTCGTCTTCGAAGTCGTAGTACGTCGTAGTAACTCTCCAAGTTTTAAGGAGGTTGCTCCCGTGCTCCGAGGAAGCCATCCCGCGGCTTTCCCGACTGCTGCCAAATGGGGAGGTACCCACGGATCTGGAGGCAGCACGCGGCCCAGGCTCTAGAGACTCTAAAGGCCGATGCCTGAATTAAGGGTTTCAGAGTTCAGGGTTGAAGACTTACTTGAGAAGTGGCTGCAGTGGGAAGCGAGCGATAGGTGTTTCATGGAGCGCAACCCGGGAGGCTGATCTATTGAGGAGCTTTGGAAAAACAGAAGTCTCGGTATGGCCAAACCTTGAGTTCTAAACCCGAAGCCAGCAGGAAGCCTCGCACCTTCCTAAGGCGCGCAACAGATCTCGTAGCCAGCTCTTCGGCATTCCGCAGGCCATGGCCTCAGAAAGGAGAGTAGGTCAGCTGTAACCTTTTCCCGGAGTTTAGCCACCAGGCTTCGAGTCGACAAGGGCTTCGGCAGGGTTTGAGATGTAGGTTGGTTAGGGTTGATACTAGTAGTTTATGTAGTTTATGTTTTGCTTTAGGCTTAGAGCTTGCATGTAGGCGGGGTTTAGGCTTGGGTGTAGGGTTAAAAGAACAGGTAAACGTTGGAAAAAAGCAAGAGCACGCCCTACGTTATAGGGTTTATGGCTTGCGTAAGATCCCGGCCCTCTCCGCGAGGTCCTAAGGCCCCGGCCCGTCACCCTTACCGGTCCATACCTTCCTTGCCTTCACTGCCTGCCGGCCTCCCTGCCTGCCTGCCTACCTACCTTCCGACCCACCTACCTACCTACCAACCTGCCTACCCACCTACCCTTCCTACCTGCCTACCTCCTACCTTCCTACCTACCTACCTACCTACCTACCTCCCTTCCTACCTTCCTGCCTGCCTACCTACCTGCCCACCCACCACCCACCTACCCACCACCCACCTACCTACCTGCCTGCTTAGCCCCACCACCAACCTGCCCACCTACCTCCCAACCGACCTCTGCCTGCCTGCCTGCCTGCCTGCCTACCTACCTACCTACCTACCTACCTACCTACCTCCATATACCTCACAAAAATTGATGGTTTGGTTTGGTCGATGCGCGCTCTTCTCTGAGCGAATGTCTCTGGTGTGGTTGGAGTCCTGAAAGTAGGGTGCAGCTGGGTCGTGGAGACAGAAGTAGGTGGCTGTGGTCCATGACTGATGGTTTCGCTCTGGTCGAGCGGGCCCTTTTCTTCTGGAAGGTCTCGTCTGTTCCCGGACTAAATAAACACAGGGTTGGATGTCCGGTGTGGGTCCTCCTGTAGTAGGCGATGGGGAAGCTCCGGAAACAGTTCCCGGTCTGTCCGAGGTCGATGGTGCTGTTGTAGTAGCTTCCGCAGAATCTCCTCCTCCTCCTCCTCCGCCACCGTCATGGTTGTCGTCGTCCGGGTGCACCGAAGGGTCATAGTCCATGTCTTCGCTGTCCGATACCTACCTACCTCCCTCCCTCCCTCCCTCCCTACCTACCTACCTGCCTACATAAGTCTGTTTCACTTTCCTGGCGGCCGTTGCCTTTCTTCACATGTGCAGACACTGAGCCCTTGTATGGCGATCGGATTTAGGACCACTTGATTACTAGCTCATGCCGTCATTTGCGATGCCATGCGTGTTTGTTTCTTTCTGGATGCTCGGCAGCTCCAGTCAAGCTGCGGAGCAAAATCATCGTACTCGTAGGTGGGCTTCGTCGCACGATTGAGCTGCTGTGGTTGCACACACGTGGATACTTATCATATGGATCATGACGCAATGCCAGCATAGTCCTAGTCGCAGCATAGAAGCCCCTTCAGGGTCTGTCCTTAGAGCTGGGCACTGTGGGCTCGCCGCAAAGCTCCTCGGTGCTGGTGGCGCGGCTGCGGGGCGGTCAGGCCTTTAGCTTGGGCTGTCAGGACCTTTAAATTGACGAGTATATTATAATTTATAGGGCTCCTAAGGAATTGGTTTCTTCTTGGGAGTACCAATTACTCACGGAATTGTTGGGAGTACCGAATTAGTGAACAAGTCCTACATCCGCCATGTGTGGAGGCCCCGCGTCCGGCAACGCAGCGTCTCGACTTGCTCGGCGCTGCTTGGGACGCAAAGAGCTGACCTAGGCAATCCTAGAGCGATTAGCTGCTCATGGACGGTACATATCGGGAGTTGATGAGGCTATACAGAATCGACTACAATGGTTGACCTGCGTGAAGGGACTCGTTTCTAATCAGTAGAGAGAGGTACCAACACGAATGGCAAACGAGATAGTGTGTCGGTCCCGCCTGGCCCGGCAAATCTCGGGACCTCATGTCGGTGTCTTCAACTTCAGGACATGTTGGAAGGCCTGTGTCTTCTGAGCCAATCCCAGAGCTCTCGCAACCGGCCTGCGGTGGCGCGCAGCACCGTGGTGGACGTGCTATGGTCGCTGGTTCTGCCCTGGGATGGCGAGTACGATGATGGACATGGGGGAGTTGTGAGGCTGGAGACCTTGGATGTTGAGAAAGGGGCCGTGCTCATCAAGAGGTGGCAGAAAGTGACTGAGAACGAGGAAGGCTCTGCCTCCAGCATGGCATCGGAGAAAGAGACGGAAGCCCTGGGAGTTGTGTTCCAAGGCACCGTCTTGGAGGTGGTGCTGAATCAGCAGGAAGGCCGAAAACTCGGATCCTTCACGGGGAAGCAGATCCTGTTTGCAGACGGGCAGGGTACGATCTGGACCCGCCGGAAATGTCATAGTGCAACTTCGAGTTTCAAGGGTCGGGAGTGTGATGGACCAGCGCCCGCTGCAGCGAGGGAAGTCTTGAGACTGGTTCTAACTCAGCTGCTGCTTTCCTTGCGCTGGGAGCCCACGCATCTTGGCCTTGGGCCCTCCACCGCATCTTCTGGAGCACTGGTCGCCATCGATGCATCCCAGCGGCCTTTGCTGAGTTTCCTTCTCCGCTATGCCACTGGGACACAAGACCTGACACTTCTCTCAGAGATCTACTGGTCACTCTGGTGCCTCTCAGAGGATGCGTTGGATTCTGAGCGGATCACCTATGACAAAGCACGCTGGGTGCTGATCAAGTCCCTAGCTGGGTCCATTGAGTTCTGGGACGGAGCCCGCGGTACGCGCCTGGACCATTTGCGCCTTGGTGTCGCCTGTGGGTTGTGTTGTGTTAAGAGTCAAGAGTGCAGAACAGACTTTCTCAACAAGTATAGTTTTGTCAAGTTGTAATCTGGCAAAGTACGAGTCAAGAGGATACCACGCTGCAGAGCTTCTGCAGGTGTCCTGACATGGATCGCATCGTGTCCTTTCGAAAGGCCGCGCTGCGCCTCCTCACACAGCAGGCTACCCGGCTCGGCGGGGTCAATGCAGACCCACAAGAGAAGCCCCAACTAGACCCTAAGGTATCGAGCTTTTCACTGACCCTGCTGAAAGATGATCTTTTTTGGCGGCTCTATCCGTCTAATTATACTTACTATGATTGTTGCCAGGATGAAGACTACCTCAAACTGTACACACCCTGTTAGAAGAGCCAAGACTAGCAGAAGACTCCGAGTGCGACGCCCTGGCACCGAAGGTTTATTTTCGCATGTGTTACCCGATAAAAAATGAAACAATCTCGCCACGAGGCTCCCGTTTATGGCCTTGAATATAAGGAATCAGCTCCAAAGCAGTGACTCCATACGTTAAGTACTGGTAGCTGATAGTCGGTGTGATATAAGACTCTTAGCCCGAGTTGCTGATGGTGTGAGTGGGTTTAGCAGGTTTGAACATGTGTCAACTCATAGTACGGACGCCAGTCGAACGCTCAAGCTGTTGAGTCCTGCCAGAATACCCCTAGTCTTGTTCTTGTCATGAGTCGTGATATGGGTCTTCCAGCAACTAAGGAGCCCTCGACTCATTTAGAACCCTATATGGTACTCGTTGGATCCTTCTTAAAGTGAGCCCTATATGAATCCCCCCCTCCCTCCGCCGTCCCATGGTGAGCCGAAGACATTACTGGTGCAGGCGTCGCTGTGGCAGCAAACTCTCAGCCTCGCAGACCTTGGCGGCCAAACGGTGGGGCTGTTCAGATTGGCAGCTTTCTATCGTTAGTATGCAGATTTTGGGTCACTGCACTTGCAGTGGTGTTGGTGTCTATTTCATTTGCGGGGTTTAGTCCGCCTCGGCATTGGCCTAGAAGCTGCCGGGTCGGGCTTGGGCTTTGGGTTCCGGGTTTAACAAATGGGCCTCAAGACTGAATTCGAATAAGTGGGATTCTAGGTGCATATTGGCATCTTCATTACTAGACACACATATTTTTCGGATCATGCTGCGGTAGTATGACCAATCAGTCCGACCCCTACATTGGGGTGTCCACTCAGCTTCATCCCTGCTTGCCCTGGCACTTGCACGCCTCTACTAGGAGCACGAAACCTCTGCACCGCAAAGGCTCTATGAGTACTAGCCCTAGGCCCGGAACTAAAGCTTTGATCCTTCAAGTTCAGAGTCAAGAGAGAAGGCCGGGCAGTTCAGTAGCTACTTCGGACCGCAGCGAGCTTCAACATGGATTGGAGAGAAGAAAGAGCTTCCTTGGATCCATTTCGGGGGTGTATGCTTTTGCGATATAGCTGTAACAGGCTGTAACAAACGGCATAGGGACGTGAAGAGGACATTGTTGCTGATTAATTCCACTTCTATGTTTTGTTGGCAGCTTGACGGGAGAAGGTACTTGCCATCTTCTTAGGTGCTGGGTAATGCACAGGTCTGGTCGATTCCGAAAGCTGCTTGACTTCCGCTCGAACCTCGCACTGCTTGCCTGCCCTAAACCCTAAACCCCTAAATGAGGAGCCTTGCCTGCGCTTGCGAGTGCGAGAGTCGAAACCCCTAAATCCTGTGCTCAAAACACCTTGAGCCTACTTGCCAGCAGGCCGGCGACACTGCGGAGAAGAGCCGGGCCGTGCGGAATCGTCTGTTGGAGCTAAAGAAGGCCACAGAGGAGACAGTTCTACTTCTGTGCGAGTTTAGGGTTTAGGGGTTTGGGGTTCAGGGTTTAGGGGTTTAATGGTATGTTGCGAGAGTCCTGGATGCAAAAGGGTTTAGGGTTTAGGGTTGTGCAGGTTTTTCTTTAGTTGTCGGTTTCATGTGTCAGTCTCTGGTGGCTCTCGAGTGGAATGCTAGGATTCCCCCATATGTCTACGGGCCCAGAGGGGCATCTCAAGCTCAATGCTCGGATATCAGGCTTTCATGTGATTTGTTGTTCGGATTCCTGCCAAGCAGTGCTCCAAGTGACCCTCTGGAACTATAGTGCTCGAGCACCAACATGTCAACAATTGCCTTTCACTTCTGCCCCTATGCACGTGCACAGTGTTGACGAAATGTGGAGAAGTCCAGGAGGGACGACACCAAGAGATCCTCTCGGAAGATGCCTACATGGAAGAAGTCTTTCAGGCAAGGCAGTGAGTGGAGGTTGTAAAGGGAGCTGCAGACTGGCTATGCGATTCTGAACGAGATCGGTTGTACCATACTAGAATAGGGTTCCTAACACTATACTACACTATACTATACTATAATGCTTTTTTGCGGCGACTGTGAATTCAGGTTGATCCTGAATTGCGCAGTGCCACAGCTGCAGCCAGTGCCGCGGACTGCAAGCAGACACAGCACGTTAGCACAGCATTGCGAAGTCCACATCCGATTGGCTTTTGCCCTTGGTGTCAGGCTTGGTTTCGGGCGCTGCAACGACCTTCCTCTCTGCCCCCGTCGATCCCTCCGTGCCATTTCTGGGCGTCGACATTAGCAGCTGCATCTTTGCAGCACTCGGATTTGTTAGCTCGCATTCGTGTTCCTGGAGGACTGTTCATGTAGACTCTAAAACTGCGAGGAAGATGTAACAAAGCCACCGATTTGTTTGTCTTAGCTCTTCCAGTCCATATGCCAAGGCGAGATCTTGGCTTCAAACGCTGCGCCACTGCTCTTGGTGTGCTGGAAGGCCGCAGTATCTCATCCTGTGCCCGATGTGCGATGCCAGCAACTGCACATACACAGGGTTTTTGGGTTTAGGGTTGGTCCATTTTGGCTCAAGTGTTGCTCTCAACAGCACGTGTCGGCTTTTGTTTTTGAAATCACTCACGTTCAACATGAGCCAATTTGCTACAGTTTGTCAAAAGACGCAAGAGCTAAACCCTAAAGCCCTCTCTTCACTCCTCCTGCCGCCAGCGCTCTTATCATGATGCATGCTGCCACACTCCCAGCGTGGACAACGAAGATCAAGAACACGTGCCTCGAATTTGATGAAGAGGACGAGCCTCGCTTCCGTCGGAGCAGCCGCGCATGCTGAGGATCGCTCCGGAGGATCCACCTGTTCAATCTCAGATCGCTCCGGAGGATCCACCCGTCCAATCTCAGATTGCTCCGGAAGATCCACCCGTTCAATCTCAACTGAATCCCGACGCCCCCGAGTTCGACTTTACGGGAGTCAGTGGCGAGACCCAGTTCGGGTCAGAGTCCTCCGTGTACTTGCCGTGCAGGAGTGGTGTGACTATCTCTACTACCTGCAGTCAAACCGGGTTCTGCTGACACCCGAGTATGCTGCCTACATCTGTGAGTTGACCCGTTTGCTGGGCATGCCGATGATGGAGTACTTGGATCCGCAAACCATGCAAGTCCACCCAACTGGGAGGCCGGGATCTTACCTGGTGAAGTGGTTCTTGGATTCCCGCAAGTTGAAGAGCAATGACAAGCAAGTCATTTCGCTTGGCTTTATGTTGTACCACCCGTGTACCGGCCAGTTCCTTCGCTTTCTCATTGGTGCCTTTCCCAAGGACTGGAGTGCGGCAAATCCCGAGGCGAATTTCAAGAAGGCTGAGGGAAAAGGCTTGGTCCAGCTGAAATGCCACACCCAGCCCAAAGACCAGGGCTGTTTGCCATGCCGGTTTGGGTTCTCAGTTTCAAACGAGGAGACGCGCAGCGCAAGTTCCCATTTTACCGAGAGCAAGTGCATCGTCGAGCTACCTGATGCTGATGACGCAATTTTTGACGTGTTCGGATCGTGTTCGGAGCCACCGGTCGAGACCAATTGGTGGAGGTAACAGCCTTCATCGAGCTGTGATTTCATTTTATCTTGCTGTCCACGCTGGATGTCCCGTGCCGCCAGCCAGACTCAGCTTGCGCACGTACACCGCAAGCTAGACAAGGCTAACGGATGTTCTGACACGGGGGAAGGGTATTCCATGGAAGCATTCAGCATCTTCCCGGGACGGCAGGCGCTGTGTAAATCGTTCTGGCTTTGTGCCGTGCGAGATATAGCAGAGTCGTGAGCACTTGCGAGAATCTCGCACAGCACCACTCTGCTGGCACCTGCCCAGCATTCGCGCTTCAAAAGAAGCTGCCGTTAGCCTTTGTGCTTCATGCATCTCTATTCAAAGGCTTCACTTGCGTAAGTTCCAGACAGAAATGAAGGCAGACGTTGTCCTACGCTGGGCATGAAGCGCACCCTAGGCATTTAAGGTTTCAAGCACAGGTACAGTGACAAAGACTGATTTTCGAGGAACTGAGTCCGGCAAGGCCGACGACAATGCGGTCGATGGGCTTGCGATGGCTTGCGTAGTTTAAAGGAGTCGAGTGAAGCAACGCCTTCACTGGCAACTGAAGCCCTGAGCCGGGACCCTGGGTTGGTCTGGTTTAGATGGTTCTGGTTTGATGCGGTAAGTGCTCGGGCTTCCCTAGCCTGACGGAATTGTGTGGAGCCTTGCCTGCCTGGTGCGAGTGTGAGAGTCGAAACCCTTCAGGATACCCATGATGTCGCGCAAGATCTGGAAGCGACCGGCGGCGGATTCAGGCGGCAGACCAGTGAAAATGAGGCTCGATTTCTCAGGTGGTGCTGATGTAGACTACCTTTTCCTCACCATCCCTCATCTATTTGTTCAGGTGACCAAGTACATGGTCAAGGTCGGTGATGACCTGCGCCAGGCCGTCAGCCTTTCGCCACCAATCTTTGCTGGCTGGCACTGGGTAGAGCAGCATCTTCGTGAAAATCCCGCGACGGGCGGTTGCGAGTGCAGGATCAGCTGGTGCTGCAGATGCTTCACTTGATGGATCTCGTGTGGCAGGACAACAATGACACAGTTATGCGCCTTGCTCCGCCATGTCAGATCGTTCGTTGCTTGTAACTGTAGAAACGTTCTGGCCCAGAGACCCCGAACCTGTGCACAGCAGAAGTTTCTACTGTGATGAAGTGTGCTGTACAACGAATGCTCTTTGGGCTCAAGCCGCCTTCAGCTCAACTTATCGTGCATCCGGACCCGCACCCGTCGGGAAGGCCTTGGACCTTCGTTGAGGCGATGAAGCTTGAGCACGTGCTGGTCCTTTCGCTCTTCGCAGGGGCCTTGGGCCATGGCGCCCTGACGAAGCCACTGCCTCGCCTGGTGTCTGGGCAACAGTACTGCCCCTGGTGCGTGGGGGAACACCAGCCTGTGACAAACCCTTCGGGAGTGGTCAACCGAGATGCAGAGCCCTCCTCACCCTGCCTTGGCTCTCAAATAGGTGATGCGCCATATCCCGCGAGCAACTACAACAACTATCGTGCTGCCACGGCACCGGCCGAGCCTTCTTACACGGCCGGTGGCACACTGGAAGCAAACATTGTGCTGGATGCTGATCACAATGGAGATGCCATCTTCGACTACTGCCCGCACTCCGAAGCCCAGACGGAGGAGTGCTTCAGGTCCCGGCCCATCAATGACTGGACTGATGTCCATGCCTACTGGGATGCCTCTAATCAGGATGACCATTGGAAGTCCGGGCAATGGTTCCCACAAACTGTGGACCTTCCCGCAGACATGCCCTCAGGCCCGGTAACTGTGCGATGGCTCTGGGTTTGCAAGTATACCGACGAGATCTTCGTCTCTTGCGTGGACTTGGACATTGTCGGTGGAGTGGCGACTACGACACAGCTCCCAGGCACCACGACCACCACTACGGCGAGCAGCGAATGCATCTGGACCGAGCCTGCTGGGCGGACGGTGGAGCGGGCCTCGCGCGAGGAGAAGGACGGCCGAATTTGCTGGGATGTCACGGTGCCTAGTGGGACCAAGGTTTATTACCAGTCCAAGACAGACATCTACCACACGTGGAACTCGAACGCTTGCTGCCTGAGTGCCGCAGAGAGTTTCGGGTCTGACGTGACGGGGAACCCCAACCTTGTCGTGTTCACTCCGACGGCCAACGTTGGAACCTTTGGTTTCTGCGAGTGCACGGCATGGGATCCAAGCAACCCGGGCACCTGTGCTGGTGCAGCTACGTCCGACAACATGATCTGCCCGGTTCTTGGGGCCTCGAAAGACATGTGTTCAGAGGCCGCATCATGGGATGGCCTGCCTGTTGGCTGCACACCTGTCTTCTCAACCACGCCGTCAGCGACAGCGACCACCACCCTGGCTGCGTCCACCACATCGCCTACAGATGGCTGCTGCTATTGGGATGCCAACAAGGGCTGTGAGGGGAGTGGATACTGCTGGGAGTCCAAGGCCAATTGCGAAGGCAACTGCAACGGCCAGTGGCTGGCAAACACCCCTACGACCATGGCTCCGACAACAGTGGCGACGACCACGACAGTCGCAACAACGACAGCACCCGTGTACACGACAACAACTACCGTCACCACCACAACCACGACAACTCCTATGCCGACCACCACTACGATGCCCTCAACAACGCCTGCTTCGTCGGATAGCTTTGAGCCTGTGGATGGCGGCGAGGGCCGCGCGTGCCGTGGAGCTCATGCAGGAGATAACGCCGCATCCCACTTCACAACTGTGAGTGGAGGTGTGGACTCACTGGATGAGTGCAAGGCACACTGCCTTTCGACCGTTGGGTGTCATGGAATTGAAAACATCGGAAGGAGGTGCGAGATATGGACGCATCCCATCGGAGCGAGCATCAGCTTGGACGGCTACGTCTGCCTCCGCCTCCAGGGAGGTCCGGTTACGACAACGCCTCCTCCGACTCATCCAGTGCACTCCTCTTGTGGTCAGCTTCACGACCAGTGTGGAGGAGATTTGTACACAGGCAGCAGCTGCTGTGTGTCGGGTCTGCGGTGTGAGTACAAGGACTCGAAGTACTCACAGTGCGTCATGGACACATCCAGCACGCAAACCTGTGCACAGATCTGGCAACAGTGTGGCGGTGCTGGCTGGGCAGGGCCCGAGTGCTGCGTTGAGGGCCTGACATGTGTCTGGGGCAACGAGCACTACTCCCAGTGCCTGCGTCTTCCTGGCTCCCTTATCGAAGGAACTGCTCAGAAGGTGCCGGTCGAAAAGCGATCACGCCTTCGCAAGTCAAGGCGTCCTGCAGTTCTGGAGTCACGGCCATGGCTGGTGCAACGCCGCACCGTCACTGCCAAGGTCAAAGAAAGTGAGCTGTAGACGTGCTTTGCACAGCGAACATCCCTTGCCGCCATTACAGTAGCACCAAAAAGGATGCAAAAGGCCTATATCTCAGAGGTTGGAATACTTAGCAGTTTTAGCTACCCCGACAGTCCCAAAATAAAATGGTTCCAACATGTTCTATCAGCATATCCCCAAAGCCTAGTTCCAATTTTATGATATAGGCAACATAGGCCCCTATTCCCAGTCGGCTCTGATAAAGCTGTCTTCTCGAATGATGACAAGGGAGCTCTCGATTTTGATCATGTGCAGCAAGGACCTACAATGCTTCTACTTATTACTGGTAAGAATAGGACACATTGCTCATTCCAATCCTGTCAATACTAATACTTTAGAACTATAGGCGATGACCGGGATTATTTGTATCGTCGTTTGGCTCTCTTGCTGCTCCAATTCAGCCGGCGTAAGGGTGCGGCACTGTGCGCTCCTTGGCTGGGCTTTTCGAGAGTCGCTGGGCAATCATAGGGAGGGGGGTACGACCTCTCCCAAGAAGCCCGGCGCCCTCTGCTGCCTAGATGCATAGGATATCAGCTACAGACATGCTGGTATCAGGCTGGTTCTTGTTTCGTTGTTTGTGTTGTTTCCTTCGGGTGCAAAGCATCTGGATGGCCCCTCCGTGGTCACAAGTTGCCGCTGCGTGGGGCATCCTCGCCACCTGCTGGTAAGATATTTCGATAGCTTGAGCATCAAATAACCCATGATGATGCCTTGATGATCGTACCTCTTCTCAGGCTTTGGCTTGTTCGGGTGGGGTCTAGCATCGTTTGAAGCAACTTACGTATATTCTTAGAGCTTTGCCCGGAGTGCCGAGAAAGTGCCCAACCCACCGGCCGCTGCAGTCAGGAGCGGCTGCCTCCTGCCGAGACCCGGATGCTCCGATTTGTCCCTTACAGCAGCTTGCCTGGAGATGTAACCAAGCAGTGCCACGGTAAGAACACTGATCATAGTTTTTCTGTTTCCGTAAATGACTCATTTGACGAATCGCCGGACCTAGGCCGGAGAAGCTAAGGTTGAGCTGAGCAGGAACCCGTAGCTGACAGCTGCCACTTCAGATTCACTTCTGTCAGTTGTTGAGTGACACCGAGGCTGGCGTAGCAGTAGTTGCAAAGTCCAACACTATCTTAGAAGAGTGTCTCCAACTATACTCAAGGAAAACGAGAGTTTCAGAAATAATGGGCTCAGATGTTGATCCTAAACACTGGGATCCCGATGAGAAGGACCCGACTAAATAAGAGCGAGATGCTTTTTGGGGGTGTCCCAATCGCCCAGGGGTGCTGGCAATGACGCCAAGTGCCGGCTACATCAAGTTTGTTCCAGGCGCTGTCTCGCTTTCGAAAGCGCTGGCGCAGTCGAACGGCGAAGCTCGGCGTTCGTCTTGAGGTTGTGATCTTCAGCATCTACAACGGTTCGGAAACAACGGTAGTTTCTGTTGCTAGCGACATGGCTAGATTTCTAAATTAGGGTCCCTGTTTAGGTCCCCAATATAGTACGGCACCCTTATAAAAAGGACCCTGAAAAAACGGCACCCTAACTTAGAAAACTACCTATAGATGGTCACCGTTTTGTCTCGAGCCGCATCGCCTTCCCGAGCCCGAGCCTGGCAAAGATAACCTTCGCCAATCCCAAAAGACCCCCGCCCTCCTCCCAATGGGAACAGACTATGAAGACTATAATACACTAGACTACCATAGAAGATGCCATAAGATACTATTTTCTTAATAGTATGTAACCCTAAACCCGCACCCATGGAACCTCGCCTGGCTTGTCCGAGTTGTGAGAGCATAAACCTGTCGTACGGGCTCGTCCTAGCTAGGTGGGAGGTGAAAAATACCGTCGTGTCAAGGACCTCATGGTCTGGTTGACAGCCAATCGCCCATACGAAAGGAGCCTCGACGAAGTGCTTGGGCAGCAATGGCTTTGAGCGTCTCATTCAAGAATCTATGGCCGGTCATTTTGCATGGCAGCTGGTTCTTCTACTATCATGTGTTCACTACAACATGCGATACCCCGGAGCTTTTCACTCTTGCCTAAACGGAGTTGTTTGTCCTGTCGTCTTCTTCCGTGGCTACATTTCACGCTTGTGGCATCAGTAGCATCAGCAAACGGTTGCCAACTGTGGTTTTAGCAAGGCTTATGACAATAGCAATAGAAACAGCAAGAATAATCACAATAACAATAGTAATAACTGTAGGGATTGTAGTCACAAAAACAACGACAATAGTAAAAGTCATTGTCATAAAGCTTAATCATAAAACGGTACTATTCATAATGATAATGCGAACAGTAAAAGTAGTATCCTTAATAATATAATGCTGCAGGTAGCGCCACAACAAACCTGAACACAAGGTGAGCAAAGCTCGGGATGGTAATAAGGCTGCCCATTGACAAGATCTGCGTGACATCCAGCCTGTCTCGGGTCCAGATGGCGTTTGCGTCTTGTACCACTATACCAACGAGCTGGCCTTCTGCAATGTAGCCAACTTGGAACAAGAGACCGCAGAACTCTTTGCCTCCTTAGGCCTCCTTACTGGACGAGCGAGCCCACTTTGGAAAGGGGGTCTACTGCACTCAACACGAGCCAGCTGCAGGGGGCTCCCGGACACGAATTCTGCTGAACAGCTACAGCAATATTATATTGCTGTAGTTGTTGAGCCGAATACGTGTCCGGGATATGAGTCCACTGCGAGACACAACAGATGCCGAGTCTCAGCGAGTAGAGAAGGAATGGGGCAATGGCAATTCTTGCGGGCATCGGGCTGAATTATTCTGAATTCTGCGTTCCCATCCTAGCCCCGATGGAGCTCGCC